GGGTGTGTTGCCAAAGCAGTTAAAAAGATAAAATTCTTAAGTTCAAACCGTTTCAAGACGGAGCCGCGTCAATAAACTCCCAACTTCAATCGAAATGCTCGACATTGTCTTTGAGATTTTGAGTGACTGACACCTTTAGCAAAGCATCAAAATAAAGTAATAATATATGTGTATGTATATATGTGTTTTATTTATATGCTATATATGATGTGAGCTGTTTAGTTTTTTTACAATAATATTTTATTCTGATTTACTTTTTTCAATTGCTCGAATTGATTTAAAGCATGCAAAAATTGTTCAATTATATATTTGGTTTAAATAATTGTCGCATTTTTTTGGGATATTATAACGAAATTATAAACAATCTGTATCTCACTGCTTCTGGGTATTGATCATACAAAAGTTTTTTTCGAAAACTTCGAATTTAATTTCTTCCAATGCCATTTATAAGCTCACTTTTCTGACTGAGTCTGACTAAATGACCAATCCTAATAAAAGGCTTTAACTTAATTAATTTCTGTTTTTTTTTTTTATGCAAAGATGCTGCAAATGCAATGCTTCTCTATTATTTTTACCGTATAAATGTCGGTTGGGGGTCATACCATTTTGCTGTTGCACTTCGCACTAAAAACGTGACAAAATTTTAATGTCGTTGACTGCTGGCATCAGAGTCACGATGTCACCGCCAACGTCTGCTACTGCTTACTTATTTCTTGCAGTAGTAAGTAAAATAATGCTACTTTACACACATAGGCTTATTAAAATTTAAATACTCTCATACATACATACAAACAAACACTAGCTTTGTGCAGCAGCAAGTAACTTAAAGCAAAAACAATAATAAAAACAAAAACAAAAACAAAAACTACTTAAAAAGCAAACACATTTTTCTTTAAAAAATGAAAACAAATTTAATGAAGACAGCAAATAACAATTACAACAACAGCAACAATAGCAACAACCTGCCTGCTTTGGCCATGACCATTCAGACCACCTCAAGCAGTCAGTTGATCTTTTTTCAGCAACAACTCAGAGTAACTGCGCAGCAACTGTGACGCAGCCATTTAGTATAGTATGTAGATAAGCTCTCAGTTAACGCTGTTTAGAAAAGTGGTGTACACTGTGCAGGTTGTATGTTTGTAATGCTTATGGAGTGTAATATGTGCATTGTTGTACGTATGGTACGTCATTGTGTTATTCATATATTTGTTGTTTGTTGTTGTCCTTTATTACTGTTGCTGGATTTATTTTTGTTGTTGCTAATTTCAATTTCAGTTGAGCGCATCTTACAACAAACACAACAAAAACAACAAATTCAGTTCAGTTGGTAAGTAAGCAAAGTACATGTACATATATATATTTGTTTTTGCTGTTCGAGTTGCATGGAGTGTATCGAATTGCATGACTTCATTTTCGTATGAACGAGCGTAGCAGCAAACGTACCCAGCGAACCTCGGACTCACCGCATGATAATCTTCTCACAACGTCTGCTATTTAACTTCTTCTCGCCTTCTTTTTTGGTAACGCCAACAGGCGTGCATTTAAGTATTTCAATTAAAATAAAATAAAAAAAACGTAAAATAGATAAAAATAAAAAAAATGTAACAAATCTTTAAGATCAAATTTGTTTAATTTTAGTAGAATACCATAAGGAGTAAAAATTTATAGAATTTATTTCTTCATGCGTACCATATCGGTTGACTTCAATATTTAAATAATATTTAATATTTAAATATTTAATATTTAATATAAATATATTATCAATGTAAATATAATTGATGTATATTGTATGATACAAAATCAACTGTCCAAAAAACAAAAAAAAATATGTGAGTGATTTAATAGAAGGCCTTACCAAATAAGAATAGCCATCACATCAGCTCGTGAAAAATGAAGTCTACAAAGGACTTTAGTGTTAAGAAGGAAGAAAATATGTTGTTCTCACAAGAAAAGTAAATTATAAAAAAATCAGTACATATTCAGTTAATTATTTTAAATTTAATAAATAATTAGGCAAATTAACACTGAAGTTACCCCATTTATTCGAAATAAACATATCATAAATCATGATGATGGCATGGTGATTTTTATCCCAAACTAAAAGTAAGGAGAATAGTAAGTGATTTAGAAAGAATGGGATATTAGATCAATTATGTGACGAAATTTTTTGTAAAGTCTACGTTTAGAGTTATGTTGGTTTAAGATTTATACAGTTTTTTGTATACTTGACCTGATGTAATGTTTCGTGTGAAAGGGTACTTTAAAATGCTGCATATAATACTATTGTAAAATAAAACTTTTATGTAGTCTAAAATGGTATTTTCAGAAATTTTTGTTTTTTATAAAGTCTATATATAAATTAGATATCTTTTGCTTATTAATAACAATAACATTTTGAGACCTAATCATTAACATGAACGTACAAATCGAAAGTGTATGTAGTAAAGCTAGCCGCTCTATATATAGGTATATGCGATGTGTGTATGTTAATATATCTAATTATTTAAAACTTTTTATTTATTTATCGGTTCTTTTTAATTATTATATTTCACATTTAAGTTTCGGAAACGTCTAAGCCTCTCAGTTTGTTTCGCTATGTCTTCTTTGTAATTCTAAAATGACTAACATTCAGTTTCTGCTAATCATTGAAGTGATAAACTAAATAATTTTATGGATAATAAATAACTAATCATGTGTAAATGAAATAAGTACATATTTATTCATTATGCGAGTACAAGTATATTTTATATAAAGATTACACTACGTTCTAGTATGTGGGCAGGATTTTGCGCTCTAATGAGTAATTTGCGGAAATAATATTTTTTTTATTAAGATTGCATTCCATTTCGATTTTACAATACGTACAAATGGTCTATAAACAATTATCTCGTTAACTATTGTACATATATAAACGGACGCTGAACAGAGAAGCACTGAGCTATTAATGACGTCATAATTAAAAATATGCAATGATTACAAAATATGCATAAATTACGAAATACATTTAAAAACTTCTGGATTAGTTAATCGTATGCAACTTTATTTATTCTCGGCATTTAACACAATTTCAACATCACATAATAACATTTTTTATCGGTAGATAAAAAACTTGAAATCTTCGAACATGACAAAGCAAATGTCAGATTATCACTATGTTTTATCCAATGAAATGACAAGGTTCTGGAAGTTGATTAGTCAGCTCCTATTTAATAGACCAACAAAATTATATTAAGTCATTAAGTTTAAGGAATCTCTCCTAAATGCGAAAGATTTTATATAAAAATGAAATTAATCAAGTATATAATTGTTAGGATTAATCTTACAATAACTTTTCTGCTTTTAAGTACATAATATTATATCAGTCCATTAGAAGCCTATTAAGAATTTCCAAGTCAATAACTTCTTAAATAATTTTCACTATTGGGGGACGCTCAAGCAATTTTGGGCTCAATATTGAAAGGAATAATTTTAATCAATTTATTGTTGTTTATTTTTCTACATAATCTACTCTGATCTCATACACTTTTTCCAACGATGTTCCCAATTCTATAACCATTCTTTCTCAAGACTGATATCTTCACGGGGCATTCATATGAGAGTACTGGATGTTTTCTTAACAAAATGTAGACAACTTGCATGCAGATGTATATAAATCATCAAATCTTCCCACCAAGATTTATTTTTTCAAATAGCTAATGGTCAAACATATGGATAGTATTTACGAGTTATTGCGTAACACTTTTTGAAGGCAGGTAATTAGCAATAGGCAGGTAATAGTTTTTTTTGGGTTACTATTTTTTCCCCGATTATCAGCACAATTTTGCCTTCGTTGATCATTCAACTTGTTCAATCCACTGTTTTGATGGTGTTTTACTATGTAATTAACAAATGTGAATTCGAAAATTTGAGAAGTGTGATGTTGTTTTACCGTCCTGTCCAAAATCTCAACCACTTCCCTACCGTCTTGAAAGTGAAGTGAAAAGTGAAACTATTGAAACCAATGCGTATATAAGACAGGCCTTATTACATTTCGCAATGACAGTTCTTTTCATGTAACTCGTCTTATTGATTGGAATAAACTTGACCATCATATAGTAATACATCTTCAGGTTGTTAAAATATGGCCTGAACTCTTACAGATCTTATGAGACAAATAATTTTAGCGAGTATGGTTACTATTCAGCAATTAGATGTAATTATATCTTTTCTAGATTTTCCCTTTATGAATGTTGTTAAAATAGACGAACCGTTACTATTTTTTGCGAAGTTCTCCACTCATTTGATTCATTCCATTCATTTCTCTTCATTTCAAGTTCCGCTAAGTAAATTTAATTAAAAGATGGCACATAGACCTTAATAAGTGCACTCTTAATTCAAAAAGCTCTATCTTATCGAAGTAGGTCATGACTTTTAGTAGACCGTCGTCAACAGTGGTGCTTCTTAGAAGCCATAAAAATAAACGATATCCGTTGCAATCGTCAGTATTTTTTGAAAGAAAAGCATTTTTTTTTAATTTACCAATCAGTTTTGTTTTATTGTGTATATATAATTGTATATGTATTTTCAATCGGTATAAATATGATTTTGATTTTTTATCAATTTGTTGATAGACATCACTTTTTTCTTAAAATAATTAATAAAATTAATAAAATTAAAAAATAACTTAATTCTTATATTTACACTAAAAAGTATTTCTTAATCTAAATCAACTCTTGAAGACTTTTTGTGAAAAAAATTATTTTACAGTGGAAGACTTAACTGATTTTATTGTTAATATAATTTTCTAAATTAAAAATTCATTTAATTAATTAAATTATAAGCATTTAAAATTAATAATGACTAAATTTGAGAAAATTATTTTTTCACTTAAACTAATGAATGCAATGAAATAATTCAATGAAGCTAATTTTCTGTAATGCTGAGGTAGTTAATATCTTTAAGTGTGTTTTGTTGCTGTGTTAGTTGATGATAAAAACCATTTAAAGCCAATTCTTATCTTATCTCTCGCTTTGACCACGTTTTAGTTGAGCAAAAATACGTCAAAGCAGTAAAAAATTCAGACCAACACAAATCTCATTTCGGTAACATTTCCCCCAAGTAAATGTGCGAAATATGATGAACTCTGAACACGTGAATGCCGACATAGTCCATATGTCTACCTATCACCCAAGGACATCTATATGCCGTAGGTGCAGTCACCACCTTTAGTTCTAATCAGTTACTTCCCAAGTTTTATAATTCTTTTTTTTTCTGTGAAGAATTGCTGTGTGTGTATGTGTCTATGTTAAGTCACCGTATAACCCGCGTTTTAGACATAAACTCGGACAAGTTCGGCATAGCAATGGAACTGTCGCCAACTTCTTCAGTCTTTATTCCACCAAAGCTTTGGTTTGTTCTGGTTAGTTAACGTTCATGCTTTTGATACAAACGCTAATGAACGCCACACTTCACCATGGACGCCAAGGCTGTTCCTCCTCTTTGATCTGTTGCTTTTTCATAACAAGCGAGAGCGGTTGTTGCGCTTGCTGATGTTGTAGTTGTTGATGTTGCTGTTGCTGTTGCTGTTGTTGTTGTTGTTGCTGCTGTTGGTATTGTTGTTGATGTGTGAGTGCTGAAGCGTGCTGTATGACAGACGGTTTACAGTCCATAGCTTCATAAGAGTTGGCCGGGCTTGGTGGTGCATAATGCATGTTATTGGAGGGCGAAGAAATTCTATGTTCATAACCATATGAGCTGTGTGATGAGGCGGAACCAGTGGAAGCAGTGCGTGATGGCATTAACATGGTTGGTTGCGCGGTGGTGGGCATAACAGAGGTGTGCTGTTGTTGTTGTTGCTGTTGCTGCTGCTGTAGGTGTTGTTGCAATTGTTGCTGATGTTGTTGGGGTAAACTTTGTGGCAACACAAGCGCAATACTGCCGTTTGGCAATTTTGTGGGAATTACTTGTAAACCATTTGGAAGAAAGTATCCATTAACAGTTTGTTGAATTTGTGTGGCCATGACGTAAGGATTGTTTGTGGGAGGTATGCGTTGTTGTTGTAGATGATGTTGATCCTGTTCTGGACTGCTGGGGGGAGAGGGTAAGACTTGAGCATGCATTTGGTTGGCTTGAGCGGCTGTCATTTGACGTTGATGGTGCAATTCAGTTTTGACTCCATTGATACAATTACTCAAGTGTTGTAGTAAACGACGTTTAACAGCTGGATCTAGGCCGGGAAAGCGACTAACCTCATTGGCGCAATCCATGAAGCCGGCTTTGAATTTGTTAACAATTTTTGGATCTGCAGCTTGTTGCATTGCAGCTTGTTGGCGTTGCAGTTCTTGTAGATGTTTAACAGTTTTCTCCAGTATGTCAGCCTTTTCCAACTTAGAGTGACGAGCTGGCTGCAAAAAATAAGAAAAAAAAGAATACAAGTTAGTTCAATTGTTGTATGTATGTTATAAAATATTATGAAATAAAAGAAAGACAGTACAAATATGAATGATGATAAATCGATAATGAATAGGAAACTTTTAGCATAAGATAAGATTTTGCTGAAAATCTAATCGTATAAGAGACTTTTAATGAAGTCGGTATTATAATTACTTATCGGTTACTTAAAATTTAGTAAGAAATTGGAACTATTGAGAAATTCATGATAGATCTTAAGATGGTAGGAAGATGATCATTATTATGCTTAATAGAAAATAGTTTAACTTACGTCTTTTTTAGTCGCATCCAATATAAGTGTCTTTAGTTCATTTAAGCAATTGTTGATACGGGCACGTCGGCGTTTTTCCATAATTGGTTTATTTGACTGCAATAAAAGAAAAAACAATAAAATATATTTAATTATAAATCTTTTGTTTTAAAAATAAATATAACTAAGTTGTTAAATGGCAAATATGTGTCTCCTACACTGTTTCCATAAAAGTATAAAACATTATTGGAAATGCTGTAAAAAGCGCCACACGCAAAGCTGAGAGGCATGCGCGCTTCCACAGAAATCAAACATAGAAGAACCTGGACTATGCCTATGCTGCGATCACACGGAAATTCTTTTCATGCTTACGTCTTTCACAAGCATGTGACCAACAAAAATAGAAAAAAACACAAATAAAATAGAGGACGGATCGCTGCAAAATAAGAAATTTTTGTCTACGTCTTTCCCAGCCGCAATATTGGCAATATATATAGTTTTGGTGACGCTTATATTATGGCTGCAGCTATGTCTCTAGCTATTGGCACACGCTAACCGCTTTCAGCGGCGAACGCTCTTTAATTGGATACCAAATTTTTATGGCAATTGGCCAATGTGAAATAAATGCTCGCGTGCATTGCTTTTCAAGTGGCGAAGGTGTTAGATTGGTATGGGTTTCGGAGAGGGTCTTTGCATACCGCACCAGAAATAGACGTTCGAATTCTTGGCGTACTTAGCCTGTTGCCATCAATGCTATTTATTATATGTGTTGGCAATCAGTCGCAATAAGTACGAGTACAATTATTATTGTGGATTTTTGCGTACCGCAACGCAAGTTGGCGCGTTCTACGCGACCAATTTGAGAAATGCTATTCAAAAATAAATTTCAGTGCGCTAAAAATACTACGGATAGCTCATAGTACAGGTATTTGAGTATGAGTATGAGTTTTTTTTCTTTTTTTTCGAATTAACAACTCCTATAGATTTCTTTGGCAATTTGTAAATTTTAAACAAGGTCGAACGGAAATTTTCTGCGCTGTAGGACGCTGAATGAAGTGTAGGTACTAATTATTGCCGTGTGACCTGGTGTTCTTTAGCTAAGACAGACTACACTGATTACCTTGTGGCCCATTAATAATTAAAATTAATTACTCATTTTCTTAGTGTAATATTTATAACAGCAGGAAGTGTAAGGAAGTTATTATAAACTAATATTTCTGTTGATTATAGAAAATATTTTCGACTACTTTAATATTCTAAGAAAATGAAAATGGCTTCATTTTTTTTTTTTTTGATAAATCTAAATCATTTTAAAAATTCTTTGATTTTTTAAAATATGTTTTTTTCAATGTTTTCCGACCAAAATATTTCATGCCTAAAAGTACCTACGCGTGAAAATCAAGTTAAATTGCTTTGCTTTGTTTTTGCCCGCCTTCCAAAAAAAAAATCTCTTAATAAGTCAGACATTTGCACAAGCGGTAACATGTCATTTAATACTCCAACTTAAGGCGTACATGCGCCGCAAAAAGCGGTGAATGTGAAGTCATCATCACTTAATTTGAAAAAAGTGAGTTTTTTTGCTGCCTGCTGCCAATTGTGCCAAATCAGTCGATCTAATTACAGGCAACGAATCGTTTGCGCTAATGAATCGCAATCAAATTGTGGTTCCGAAAGACGAGGTGAAAGAAGAAATCTGTGACCACGCGTCACCACAACAACGTTGGCAACGTTAGCAATGTTGGTGTACAGCACTGACAAGCAAATCCGAAACAGTAATCTACTGATTAACCCACTAACTGACTGCCTAATTGCTTGACTAACAGACTAACAGACTGGCTGACTAAGTCCCAAATTGACTGTTTGCTGCATGACGAACGAATGCGTTGGTTCATTTGCAGTTAAAAAGATTTCATTTTAGCGTTTCAGCCAATGAGTTGGTTAACCAAATTGGGAGCAACACTTACGCCAAAATAAATATCAACAACTACAAAAATAGTAGCAACACCACGCGCTCTTGTCTCACCAACTTTGTTTGGGGCCACATTTATGAATGGAATTGTAAACGGCAGCTTGCAGCTGGGAACGTAGGTTTTACACAGCCAAAAATGAAAAGTCCACGATATTACCACGCACCGCGGCTGCTGCTTGGATTTTTATTGCGATCGTTTTTTCAGGCTGTGAATTGATTTTTACTATAAACGAACGGAAGTTTTCGAGACGGTCGGAGAGACGGACATGCCGAGAGATTGACAATCGACAATACTGGACAGATATTATTAAGCAAGTGTAGTGTTTGTCGTTGTTTTGCGATCTATGTGGGTGCAGAAGTCAACCCACAAATGAAAATTTTTTGCAAAGTTAACGTCTTGACTTAAAATTAATGATGATGCTATTTTTGAGCGTTTAGATTTAGTATGGGATCTCGCCAAATTATAAAAACTAGGGTTACTGTGCTGTAAAAAACTAAAAGTTGACGAAACTATGGAAGACTAACACATGGACATAGAGGGTAGGATGTATATAAATTGATAACTAAGTAAAAACTAAATAAGTTGAAATAAAATTTTTTATGAAATTTTTGTTTAATTTTAATACGATTCAATGTGAGACTTTCCAAAAGTACTTATGTTTACAAATAATATTTAACAGACTAATGAAACGAATAAGAATAGTTTATATATTCTGTAAAATTCAAATTTGTGGGAACCCCCAAGTATTATTATTTTTTTAGACAACAATAAATAAGTCCATTAAACTAAAACGTTTTGTATTACATATACGGAAAAGATTAAGTTCGGAATAAAAGCCCAAATGATTTTATAATCTAATCTAATTTAATGATCTACTTTAACAATAATTATAAAATAATCAAAGGTTATAATATTAAAAACACATTAATTTCGAAACAAATCAAAATTTGTTGCTTTCCTTATAAGTAGAGGGCATATTTATATTCCCTATATTTCTTAGTAGAAATTTTTCTTTAGTTAAAAATTTCTGAAAATTTAGAATACAATTTTGGCTATAGCCAAGAAAATCTATTTCGTTAAAATCAAAAATTAGGTGCAATTTCTATCTCTCAATAAAAAATGTCTATTCTAACTCTAAAATTCAATGAATTTTTAATTTCACATATATGAAAATATGAAGTTCAATTTCTAGAAAATTCTTTATTGTCTCCAAAGATAAAGGCAAATCTATTATTCGTCGAAGAGTGATACTACTTAAAAATGACTCCCATCAAAAAAAAACATGTTTGTCAAGAATTCGAAACTTACCCGACGATCATTTTTGACAGGCTGGTTAGCCTCCTTCAATGGGGGTACAGGTGCTCCAATTACATTAGCTGTCATGGTTGGGCCAGTAACTCCAGTTACCATTTTTTTAAATATAATCAATACAAAACTGTTTTCTTTTATTTAAAAAGTTTTTAAATATTTTCACTTAATATTTTTTCAAAAAATATTTATTTATTTTTTCTTTGTCAGTTGAAGAAAAATAACTTCAAAACACAGTTCAATATTTTTTAATTTTTATTTGTAAATTGAGATCACTTTTCTGTAGCGGTTGTGAAAATGATCACTTAATTTATTTGTTGTCTGTTGTAAAATTATTTTTTCACTCTTAATTAAATCACGAATTTATCGTGTGTAATGTCTTGACTTGACCGCAAAGTATCTTATAAAACCGTTTTCCGACTGATTTTCTATACGATCTGCTCACAACGACGGCTGTTCAGCGAATGAGTTTAGCGTTCTTCTGTCAGCTTGATTAAAAGTCTGTGGTGCAACTCGGTTTGTTTGTTATTTGTATCTGCCTTTTTCTATAACCGGCAGAGCACACGAAGAGCACGACGTAAAAATCTGTTGCTCGTGTTTTCGTTTTTTGTTGGGTTCGTGTATTTACGTTTCTAAAACCCTCCAAAGTGGTGGATTTTGTTCTTTATCGTTTGACACACTGCAGACGACTGACGACTGACGGTTGACGATTGATCGACAGGTTTGTGGGGTAAAAATTGATTTAGCCAGCGAAGAGTGCTGAAGGCAATAGCCACACGCTGTTGTCTTTTTACCTAACAGCGCTTGCCATATGCCTACCTGCCGTCCGTGCTTGCCTGTTAGGCTACTAACCGAACAAGCCAACTATTTGCGCACAAATTCGGCCTTTGTAATGCCATAACAATTTTTGTTGTTGCCTTGTTAATTGGTAATACAAAAGCCTCAATTGCGGCGAAATGTACGGGTGTATTTCTGATTTTAATATGTGTACGAGTATTAAACAAATAGCAAAGTAAAAGAGAAAGAGAGAGAGTGGGAGAGTCCAAGAGCGAGAGTGAATAAGCACAAAGTTCAGTTATCTCTTTATCTGCACATTGTTTATCGGCCTTAATTTCTGTTATGTTATCTCTCAATCGACCAAATCGGAAATTGTTCAATTTGTGGGACTTCCAAGCGAAGCAATCATTGATATTTTACTTCAAAAACGGATATGCTGCTGCTACATTCTTCGAAGAATTCATAAAAGTAATTATGTGAGTAAATGTTCAGACGTACTTAGATAGTTAAAATCAAGTCTTAAAGTTATACTTATTTTTAGCAATTTGTTTCAATATTAACAAAATTTTGGAGAATGGTTCTTAGTTTATTTAAAATTGAATATATTATATATATTAATTGGATATTATATATTGGGTATATATATTGGATATATATATATTACATGAATTATTTGATGGTTTCATGGTACTAATTGAATATAATTTTGTAATATATTAATTACTTGTTGTTTTTGTAGTAGCAAAACAAGAAATCGGCCTAAATCGATTTATTTTATTTAAAAACTGAATCCTTGTCAGTCTCTAAATGTTGCTTCTTAAAGCCACTAAACTGTAAAGCAATACTAATTTCGAATTAGTTGAAGTTTTTCTACTTATAATATAAACTATTGAAGACCCTTTTTAAGAAAAGTTTCGTGACTCCTAAATTTTTTTTTTTTTTGGAAATTAAACTTTCCAATATTTTTTTAGATTTCTTAATGAGTTCCTTTAAGTTCCACGAGGTGGAATTTAAGTTTTATTTTGCAGTAATGAGAAGGCATCCATCAAATAATATTAATATGAGACTGCAATCCATCCATTAATTTTATTTCAGTGTTGAGAAGAGATAACCAAATTTAAGTGGTTTATCTAAACCAGTAGGTAAGGACGTGGTGCAGTTGAGGGAGTGGGTTTACCGTGCAAGCACTGGAGATGGGTTGGTTGTAGACTCTGTGACCAGTATCTAAGACTGCATTTATATGTTTCAATACATTTTGAATTTGAATTTTTTTACTGTTCTTTGTTAGTATACACTTACATATATAACAAATAAGTTTTTATTTTTTGGAAAATAACAGCACATTTAATTCTTTAATTAGTGTTTTTTAAATTTCAAAATTATAGGTTTTCAAGGTCTTTTTTTTACTGATAACATCTTCTGTTGCAAAATTTCGAGTTTCATAAATTTTTGATTTGCATGAAAATCGTTATGAAAGTATATTTAAGATCTATACGCCTAATTGCTAATTAATTCCAATAGATTGCAAACTAGTACTATAAATAATTACTGCAATGAAATCTGAGAGATCTAAAACGACGTGCACAAATACTAATACTCCATGAAATAATGTTAATTGAAGAGCAATGTTAAAATAAATAATACGAATTTGATTTAATTTTATTAATGCCAAACCTTATTTTATATATTAGGGAGATATTTTTCACAATTTGAATAGAAAAATTAAATTAAATTCAAATTTATTTCACATAAATCAAGTCTTTAATGTTCTTCGAATACTTTTCTAAAAGTGTCGCCTTAGCACGAAAGCAAAGTGAATACGGATCTTTAAATTTCTAGGAACTCAAAAAACTCATACTAAATAACTTTAATCATACATTCTAATTATTCAAAATTCAAAAATTTTCAAAATAACGTTTTATTATGTTATATTTGTAGATGGTAAGAAGGAATCCCCGCATCACTCAAAAAAATTCCAACTGGGTCAATATTCTCACTTGCTTGATTGCATGTTTAACTGTGTGTCCGTTTAGTAATAATCTCAACAGAAGTCTTTACTCGGCTGTTTTGTTGTTATTTGTTTTTGCTGTATGGGGCTATCATTCTGATTCATCGTACAACAAAGTCGTGTGAACGTGACTGTGCGCCAGCGTTGCTAGCTGTGAACTTAATTGTACTTTGAGTTGCAGACGATACACAAGCCAACAACAAACACTTAATCACACCACATATACATACGTATACACATATATGCGATGTTATACAAAAAAAAACAACTAAAACAGAATAATACAGATAAGGTGCTATGGCGGGGTAGTAGATGGTGATTTTCTGCTGCTGGTAACAAGTTTCAAGTAAATAAGATCACAAGGTTGTTCGTGGAGTTGTTGTTGCTCTGTACGTTATTGTATGACGCTGAAGGCGGAAGGAGAATTGACGTCATCATTCATATAAGTTCTTATTAAAATATTACAGTTTGGATATATTTTGCGGCGAATTCATGTGTATGCTTTTAAGGTAAAATGTTTAGCTCCAATAAACGATTTATCTAACAGTTGAGGCAGAAGGGGAAATTTGTTTTTGGCTTTTTTTATATTATGTATGCATAATAAAGTATGCAGTGACGAGTGGGTTTATTTGTTTGCTTGTCGGCATGACTGTTATTTGTGTTTTGTTGGCGGATTTAACAGTACAGCAGCGATTATTGAATTGGCGTGTAAATCTCCTTAATAAACAAAAACAAGTCATTTGACAAAAACAAAAAAAACTGATCGCTTAATTGTGTGCTCCTCTAAGCGGTGGTCTCATGTCGGCACCGCGTGTCGGTGTTTAAGTACGTGTGGGCAAGCAAGAGGCATGGGGTAAAATAAAAACTTTTTAACTTTTGTGTGTGCAGTGCACATATCGAGGCAACATTAAATGCAATTGCAGCGATTCGCTGTTTGTTCATCGCAACTTGGCGCGGCGCTCTTCAGCCGCATATTTGTGCTGAGAGCGATGATTGCCTACTGGAGCTCCGACCTCCGAGCGCAGAGCGCAGTATTTTCGGTTTGCTGTTCTATTTTTATTTTAAGCACTTCGCGTGCGTTCTATTAAAGTATCTAAACAAATCTGTAATCTTGTAAGTGTGATTTCGGGTACTTTATTAAAATTGCGGGGCGCACTTCTCGGTTGTTGTTGCTGGAAAAATGTGTGAAGGCCAATGAGTTATCACATTTTTCGGTCTTTTTTCTCGCTTGTCAGGAGCTCGTTACAATGCTCGAATTAACGAGTTGAATTAACGAGTTTGCAGTTGAAATCGATTGGGTTTGCGTGAGAGAGTGAAATTGGCTATGAAAATTTGTACTTCACCGATTGTGCAAAGTTTTGTAAAATTTTTTGGTTTCAAAATTGTTGTAATTGATTTTGTAAGAATTTTATCTGCTAGACTTTTCGTATTTGAAATCATCAATTAGATGACTCATTTTCAAAATATTTCATTTTGAGTTAATTTATTTTTGAAAAAGTTACTCATTTTTATTTGGTGGAAATACATAAGAAAATAATAATAGCGTGAAATTATTAGAATTTACTCGTACGAGTTAACACTAGAAGGAAGTGCATAGATACTCCTCTTGTTTTGTTACTTCTATTTTAAAATTTCAATACATTTCACGATGAAAATCAGAATGTCCTTCATTAAGATGTTTCTAATATATTATAAAGCAAGTGTATAGAAGTCTTATTTCTTTTCAAGCAGAGATGATGTCCTGTTCTTCTAGACAGACTCCAGACTCATCTTGTTAAGATGGTAGCGCATGTTAGGATGACCTATCGGGTAACTAATCCGCAACCCTTGTTCTGTCAGTGAGATGGGGTGGTTGGTTGTAGGTTGCAATGGCAGTGGCAGGTCAACAAGTAACTTTCCGCTGACCTTAATTAGTGATTTTTGGCTGTTTTGCTATCACATTTCTTACAAGATCTAAGATAGTCTTAAGATATGAAAAGGCAAAAGCTAAGTCCATTTCGTCAACTTAAGATAATTTAATAGATCTTTTATATACACCGATGAAACTGTCAAATAAGTACTTCCTTAACAGCCTATTTCTTCTGAAGACCAGAGTCGGACATTTACAGAGAAAATGTTAAATAGTTTCTTTTTCCTGCAGGTTTCCACAAACTCTGCAGTGAGTATTAAAAAGAGTACACAGTTTCTCTGCGTATGTTTCTATACAACAGTGATAAGAGAGAGGAGGGATATCGCTTTAGATTGATATGGAACAAGCACCTCCTTAATTTAACGGTTATTTGGAGTTTCAAGCCAGTACTGGTTTTTTCGGTTTATAACCAATGTTTAATCAGCGATTTAGTAATAGATCAACTGGTTTCACAAAAAGGTTCGTGCCCACAGAATCGTATTGTTGAACCAATTGCTTAGTAACCCGCAGAAAAGCTTTGATATTATTTTCCATTAATAATTTTTGAATATTTATCGGCTTTCATCTGTTATTAGATATGTTGTTGCTGTTGCGGACTTTAAGATTAGGATTATTATTTTTTCGTTTCAAATAATTATAAACGAATGCCCACATTAATCTTGTAGCTATATCAATCAATAGAATTGGTTCTTGTGAGAGATGTCTAAGTAGTACTTCTAATTAAAAAATAAATAGGTCAGGTTAGTTATACCGGCGATTCTTAAGGCTTCAGTTAGGCTTGATCCATTGTGTTGCCGTATAAGAAACTCAGAATCACCTCGAACCTTTGATAAAGCTTAAAATGCTTTTTAAATGAAGTTCCTGGGGTTGGCCAACATCCTTAAAAAAGCGTGCTTTACACTATAACTTAACACTATAACTTAAGAAGCGTGTTTCCGTGATCAGCTGAGCACCGTCAACAAACCTAACACATTATTGATATCTTTATAGGTCATCTTGATGAGAGTTCTGGATATTTTTTTAACAGAAAGCGACCAACTATCATACATATGCCTACTTATTGTTATCCATTGTGACCTATTAAAACTGAAAATCAAATTCCTTTTTGCCTTCAAATATGAGGAGGAATGGGTTTTTTTC